GCGAAATAAAGGGTTCAGTTCGACATTCCAACGACCTGAAGAAGGCCGGAGCGTACAACAGCCGAAACGTTTTGATAAATATGGCAACATAGATAAGCACAATAGTCCGAATAATGTAAATAGTGCAATAAAAGGTGTACAGATAATTAATGGACAGTCCACATTTCTCACATACACTAATATATATTAAACTGACCATATTGGGTAAAAACTATATTAGTCTGAAGAAGACCCTTCTGAAGGACGAAACACGTATTTTTTTTCTGATTTTCCTCCGATTCCATTTTATTCGTCTGATGTATAAATTTTGCTTGTAGAGACTCTGAGTAACAGTAGAATAATCGATTAAGGCTCGGGTTAAGAAATCAGAGAACTGAGTTCGAATTCCAGTCTAGTTCCTCAAATCTATTACACGCTAATAACCTTGGGGAAGATATAGGTACAAAGTTGTAGAGACTGGGTTTTATAATTCAGAGTACCTTCTAGTAAATTTTTCCCAATCCCTGTTCTAGCATCCTTTTAGACAAGCTCGTTTATTAGGTTATTTGTGGTTTTTCTCTGTCTCTAGTGTCTTCAGTATGTCATGTGTGTGTCAAATTTTTCAAGCCCTCTTTCCTCCTTATGTGTCCTATAAATTTCAACTGCCTATTTCTGAATAGATGTCTAACTGTCTCCTTTTTGTTTCCGTTTTCTTTCAGATCTTTTTCTTTACTCATATGTTCAGTCTATGAGATCCTCAGCATCCTTCAGTAGTTTCCCAGGTCCAACCTGACCCGGCGTGGTATCACCTGTTAGGATCCTAGCTATGGGCAAATAGTGACCTCCCCAGCAAAAAAAAAAACACTATGAATGTATATATTAGTACATTTTAATAATAAAAATACTAGCAATATAATTTTTTATATAAAAAAAAAAAGCGACACTATTTAACCAGCAATACATTTTGTTTGCAGCTAAAGGCAAAAATATGTTTAATTGAATTAAAATTGTGTTCAAATTATTTAGATTTCGGCATTAACGACCCATGGAGGTGTTGATATGACGCTAAACAAAATCAGCTAACAAACCAACCAATTTTTCTGTAGAAGCATATTTCTGTATGTCTCTTATTTACCTGTGAGGCTCTGTGTACCTTTAAGAAAATTCGACTTCAGCTGATAGGAAAATATCATACATATCGATCACAATTATTTCTCTCATGACAATCTCAAAAAATTTAAAAATGTAGGTTACTTCTTTATTTCCGATTTGGGCAGTACACACACTATTTGTAAGCAAGGCCAAAAAAAAAAAGAAGATTAAAAAAAAAAGGAAAAAATAATCACAATGCTAAAAGCCACAAAATTCAGCCTACGTAAAACTATTTCATCTCTAATCTAATCTGCTTGGGATCGAACTCATTCTGTTCGTGATTGTAAGATGAGCCGATGGTGTTAACTTCTCGTGTGGTGAGTAGTTTTATGCATTAGAAACAAAATTGTTAAACAGAAAGCAATTAGAATAATTCTTGACGTCATTATCGCCGAGTGACTGTCTGTGCTGTACTTTAGGGTCAAGATGACCAAAGAGCAATGAGTGAGTCGTTTAGGCGAGCAAAAAAAAAAAAGACAGATTGGCTAGTCAATGCGTGCAAGGCTACTTATGATGAGAGAAAGTTGCCTGTCTAGTCAGAACAGTACGCAGATTTATAGACTAACTCTTGAAACAGTAAAATATACGGCCTAATCTACATAACGTTACTTTCAATATAAGGTTGGTGAGTCTCGTTTACCGAGTCTAATATAAATAATTACACAAAAAGCGACAAATGACAAGTTGAAATCCAGAAAATTTAACAGCGCTTTCCTATTAATAGACATATTTTTTTGCTGGCTTTGTCAAGGTTGAAAATGGGTGGAAGAACGTTTTACAGTAGAGTTGGAGATGCAGAGCTTGCTTAAAGGTTAACACCAGGGAAATTAAATTCATAAAAACAGACGTCAGTTTAAAGACTGAAGTCGTTTGTGCTTTATTCGCTTAAATGTGCTTGACAAAAGCACGAACACACTTCTCGCCAGAGGTCAGATCAGGATTTCCAACCTGATGTTGCTGTTGCGGGTGACAAGACTGTTTATTTGAAAGAAGGAAAACATTAAAACTAGAGAATGTGTTTGTGAAGTTTTTAGTAGTCCTAAAGAAAAGTAAATGACAGTAAAGTGAAATGTGTGTGAGTGCTTGTGAGCGTTCATCGGTCGGGGATGCTTTTCTCCACGTGCGACCTACATCTTACCATCACTGAGAAAAATAGGAAAAAAGGAGATGACAGGATGTCAATGTCTATTTAGGAAAAACGTACGGACGTAGTTGTAGACATCTGTGGCAAATGAGAGTTGGTTCAATAATTCGCCAGCATTCTGGTATATTTGTGTTTGTATTAAAAGTTGTTTTGAGTAGCGTGTGTGTTACATAGCTAGACGAAAATTGGTGTGTAGTTAGTGATATATGTTTTCTAACAATAGTATGATTATGGCTTTAATTTTTGATCTGTATGTGTAAATTGTGTTTTTATGTTACACTGATACCATGTTCCCAGATCCACCCTGACCTGGTGAGGTAGCACCTTTTAGGATCCCTGCTATAGATAAATAGTGACCCCTCCCACACTCAAAAAAATAAAAACACTATGAAAGTATAAAAATATATTTTTATAGTAAACAGCAATAGTAATAAAGTAATGTATTTAATAGTAATATTTAATATTTAATAGTAATTAAATATATATTCAATAGTGTATAATGTATATAAATATAACACACATATATATATATATATATATATATATAAGTATTGTAAATTAACTGATTTAAAATATGGTGTGTAGCGAAGAAACCATATTTTAAATCAGTTAATTTATGAAATTTTATGCTCTGTAAATTTACATTGAGCACTGTTTTGCAAAAATAAAAAATAATATCAATAAGAACACCGGCTTATATATCTTACTGTTTTTTATATATATATATATATATATATATATATATATATATATATATATATGTGTGTATATATGTATATGTGTGTGTGTGTGTGTGTGTGTGTGTGTGTGTATAAATATAAATATATATATATATAAATAAAATATAAATATATATTTAAAATTTAATAGTAATTAAATATATCTTCATTAGTAATATATTTTTTATAACAAACAGCAATAGATTATTATTTACATTATTCAGACTATTGCCCTCATCTTTGTCGCCACATTTATTACAACGTTTCGGTCGTTGTAGGCTTCGATCTTCTTCAGGTGGTTGGAATGATGAACTGAATCCTTTATTTCGCTCACTGGGGTGGACTGTTCTAGTTCGACGTGCCATGTTTAATGAATGTCAGTTATCAGTTATCTCCTGTTAATTCCCCTCTCCAAGTTCACCACTGTCTTAACCGGGTATTGAACACACACTCTTTGAGTCCTGTCCTTGGATGTAACCAACGTCTTTATCCACTGTGGCATCTGTCCTTGAGATCCAGTGACAGGACCCAAAGACTGTGATTTCAATACCCAGTTAAGGCAGTGAAGAATTTTCAGAGGGAAATCAACAGGAGATAACTGATAACTGACATCCATTAATCATGACACGTGGAAATGGAACAGTCTACCCCATCGAGCGAAATAAAGGTTTAAGTTCGACATTCCAACCACCTGAAGAAGGCAGGAGCGTACAACGGCCGAAACGTTGTAATAAATATGGCCACAAAGATGAGCACAATAGTCTGAATAATGTAAATAATACCTCATCTCAGAAATACAGACAGAAACAGAAATAGATTTTAATAGTAAGAAAAAAATAGCAAAGCTCCCAAAGAAATTAAATTTCAGTATTAAATGACCGATAAGGTGTTGATATGCTATTAAACAAACCAAACCAAACCAAAGCGTAAAGTCCGTATAAGTATCCCCGAATTATTTAGTGAGGTGATGGGTATTCGCCAGAAAATCCTGCAACCACGGGAAATGTTATGAAATGCTGAGTGTGCTACCCAGACGATGGGATAATTTGACTTGATTGACTGTCTGGCATGTCGTAATAGGAAAATAGATTTTCCTTTCATGCTAGGCCCTTTTTGGAACATGTATGCGATTCATCGCTAAAAGGAGTTGTAAAAATGGCCGGCCTTTTCTACCACCCACAAAAATACCTCACTTCTGTTATGGTTTATTTTTACAAGAGTCAGATCCCTCCCTAAAATCGACTACTGTTGCCATACGTTGGCTGGAGCTACACAATCCACACTTTTTAGCCTTGATAGCGTTAAATATCGTTCCGCCAGCCCTGTGGTTTTATGACATATTGTGCATTCACAGTCACGTTCCCAGAGACGCAACGTCACAAGACTATGACTGCTGTATCGCTACTTCCATGTATTCTGGCTCTGTCCACAGGGTCGAATCATCATTATTCCCGCCATATGCCATTACTAAGAAAAGGATCCCCCTCTCAGAAAGCTTCTTCCCAAGAAACATTAAATTATGCAACAGCAGTCTCCCTCATAGATGCTTCTTCGATGACTACAATCTTAACATCTTCAAGGGAAATCGTTGTCTATCCTCCATAGCTTCATAGTCTTCACTACCTACTTCCTCTTCTTAGGTTCATATCATACTTCTCATACAGTAGCCCTCTACATTGAGTGCCTCTTTAGCCTTTTATTGAGTGAACGTTAGTAAAAAAAAATGCTCTTAATCATCTACTGCCCACTCAATTGCAACATTTTCAATTCTTCGGCCTATTGTTGTCTGTTCTCCATATCATCACAGTCTTCACTTCCACTTCTTACGTTCATATCCCGGTCATCATTCAGTAGTACACTACCTTGAGTGGCTCCTGACGTCCGCTTTTCCTACACAACTTATTAGTGCTCAGTGATAATGAAAAATCTATTTATCGTGTCCATAAATCTTACGCGACCACGCTCTTTGCTACAGATGAATTTCAATTCTAGAATAGATTTGACTTATGAAGTTCCTCCTTCCTCGTTGGCCTAGTTTCTGCCCTCCCCCACCCAACCCCCGGAGAACTGGGGCCTCAACTAAAGAGATAGAAGGATTCCTTAAAAAAAGAATTTCATCTCATCTAGATTCCAGCATTTGTCAGGAGGAAACAGAGACAGATGACAGGACGATTGTGAAAACAGTGGATCTATCCGGCCATAAAGGACTTTAGCGAATTAAGAGATTCGGTGAAGCAAAAATAAAAGCCCAGAGCCTATTGTAATTGCCTTATTCTTGTATCGATGAAGCATCAGTAACCACCTGATGGCCAGTAATAAACGCTGGAGATACATCAAGGTCGAAATTCGTGAATCTAAGTATCAATATAGGTAACAAAACTGTAGCGTTTAATTTCTATCTTCAGTGTCCCTTCAGGTCGTAGGTGATCATGGCTCTCCACAATTTCCTGTTCTGTGTAGCTCTTAATAAATTTTGTCTTTTTGTTACCTCTTCTAAACCTTGATCCGTCATCTTCTTCTGGCTATCTTGTCTTTAATCTGTCCTGTAAGTATCGAATTTTCAAATCCCACTTTTCTCATTATAAGACCCAGAAAATTCAGTCGATTTTTCCTCATGTTAAATATGTGTTTTTTTCTGTTTTCTCTAAAACCTCGTCGTTGCTCATATGTTCAGTTGAATTATTCTCAGCATCCTTCTGTAGAGCCACATTTCTGTTATTTCACGTTTCGTCTTCATATGTGATAAAATTGTCCAGGATTCGCTGTGATATAGGAGGACTGGTATTACATAATAGTCCAATACTCATTTCTTTATTTCTATTACATCAATTCTCTTCTTAATCTGTGATAAGCTTGTCCAGGATTCGCAGCCATATTGGAAGATTGATATCACATAACAGTTCAGTACGCTTTTCTTTGTTTCTGTTGCTTCAAGTCTCTTCTTCATCTGTGAGGAGATCGTCCAGCATTCACTGTCATAATGGAGGATTGATATCACATAACAGTTCAGTACGCTTTTCTTTGTTTCTGTTGCTTGAAGTCTTTTCTTCATCTGTGAGGAGATCGTCAACAATTCACTGCAAGAAGTTACTCGATATATATGCATAATTTTGAGTAATTAATTATAAGAAAGGTTTGAGAATTCAGCTTGTTCACATCAACGGACAGCCGACCATGGTAAAAAGTTTACGGAAAACCTGAAAACTAACTTAATACAATGAAATAGATCGACTTGAAGAAGTTAAAAGACTAGCTCAGTGAACTCAGACGTTTATTGATAAATATTTTCCCTAATTTTTTAATATCTATTTTAGGAGAAAAATATTGTTGTTCCTTTTTTGATGTGATCCCTTAAGTGTCATACATGTAAACAAACATAACTGTTTGATTTTTCAAAGGCTTTAAAATAACGTCGCTGATTGGTTAATAAATTCGAATATGGAAATTCAAATCTAGAGCCTATGTTTTGCACAAATATGAGTTACGTTTTTTACATTATTCGGAGTATTCTCGCCATATTTATTACAACGTTTCAGCCGCTGTACGCCCCGGCCTTCTTCAGGCGTTTGGAATGTCGAACTGGACTCTTTATTTCGCTCACTGGGGTAGACTGTTCTACATTCCAACCACCTGAAGAAAGCCGGGGCGTACAACGGCCGAAACGTTGTAATAAATATGGCGACAAAGATGAGCACAATAGTCCGAATAATATAAATAATGTACATAATACCTCATCTCAGAAATATAGACAAATATGAGCTAATTGTCCTCAAGGACACATGGCACAGTGGATAAAGGTGTTAGTTAGATCCAGTGACATGACCCAAAGAGTGTGAGTTCAATACCTGGTTAAGGCAGTGAAGAACTTAGAGAGGGGAATTAACAGGAGATAACTGATAACTGACATCCATTAAACATGGCACGTGGGACTAGAACAATTTACCCCAGTGAACGAAATAAAGGGTTCAGTTCGACATTCCAACCACCTGAAGAAAGCCAGAGCGTACAACGGCCGAAACGTTGTAATAAATATGGCAACAAAGATGGGGACAATAGTCCGAATAATGTAAATAATGCACGTAATACCTAATCTCAGAAGGATAGACAGATATATTTCTCAATTCCTGTCGCTATGTCGTACTTTGAAAGCTTTATAAGTGTCTATAAATTCTATCTAGAAGTGCGAGGAGGAAATTTCTGTCCCACGTTAGAATGCTCAGTTTTTGTTTTCAATAAAATGAGGTGAGTGCCGCCTCAGGAGGGTGAAGAACATTTAAGAATTTTATACCCAGAAGGACTGATTTGTTCATCATCTGAATGCTGACAAGTTCACAGACAAATCCACAGCTGCTATGAATATAATTTCTGAAAGGAACCCAGAATAAAATAATGATTCTCACTGAGGTTAGGGTAACGTACAAACGCTGATGTTATCCAATAACCACGTGGCAGCGGCAATAGCTGATAAACCAAATATTCGAAATTAAATAAAACTCGTTAAATCCTTTGACTAGCTTTTCTTTTCGTCAATTTATAGACTAGATCGTCTTTAAATTCTACGACCGTAAAGATACGCAAAGAAATAGAACAATTTATGTCTATCAAATTCCATACACTTCTGATCAAAAATTTAAGACTACTTGAAAATTTTTTTGAAAAGACTGTTGTTCATGGAAACATTTTAGGCATTTCTTACTTAAGATTACTAATTTTATAATCTAAAATATTATGTAGACAAAAAAGTTATAATCCGAAAATTTTATTGAGAAATTTACATTTTTATAAAATGAGGCGTTTTACACTTGATCAAAATTATAAGACCAGAGACAAAAATTCTACGAAATTCTACGAAAAGTGTACGAAAAATTCAACAAGCAAATTTAATAATGAGTTCTACCCCCACTGGTTTTGATGACTTCAAAATTTTTTTTGGTGGGGGTATGCTAGAAATTAGTGTTTCCATTAAACTGCGAGGAATATTGCTCCAGCTTCTGAAGATAGCTTCACGAAGTTCAATTTTTGTTGAATATTGTTTGCTATTTCGATAAACATCTCTTGCCATCAATTCCCAAACATTTTTAATTGGGTCCAAGTCTGATTAGCATGCAGGATATCTCAAGAGATGGACCCCATTTTCTTGTAGAAAGGTCAAGGTCCAGCATGCAGTGTGAATTACAGCATTATCCTGTTGGAATAACCATCTATCCACACACAAACGATGACCCTCCGTCACCAACGATGCTTTTTGTAGCATGCTAACATAACCAGCCCCTGTCTGACGACCCTGCACCCACCTGGAGCTCCATCGTTCCTCTGTAAGAAAAGGCACCCCATACCATTAGGGACCCTCCATCACTATGACATGTGGAGAAAATTTCAGGAGGTATGTTTTTGTTATGCCAATATCGTTGGAAGCCATCAGGACCATCTAGATTGAATTTTTTCTCATTAGGAAACAGGACTTCCTTCCACTTCTCAATGTCCCATGTTTGGTATTTACGACCAAACCTTAAACGGTTCACTTTGTGACGTGGAAGCAGCCGTGGAATTTGTTTGCACTTTTTATTTACCATGCCTTTTTGTCTTCAGTGTTGTCTGATGGTTACTGGACTGCAATACGCATCTGTGGCTGCCTTAATTTGACTAGAATAATGTCCGCTGGCTTTCACAACAACCTGTCTTATTCTCCGGACTCAATGCCAGAGAAAGTTTTTGTGGGCTCTACCAGTAGACTTTGCGTTTCCATAATTTGCACTGTCCTTTAGAAAATTGCAAATCACAGTTTTATTGCGATTTACCTTAGCTGCGATCGCCCGCTGTGACAGTCCTTGATTATGGAAATCTAGAATTCGAGCAAGCTCAAGTTCAATAAGTTTGCTTGCTTTAGGCATGGTGACACCTTTACGCAGTGACTGATAATCTCTAACAGAACTAAAAACATTGGAATTACCCTAGATCTAACAATTTATACCCCTGGTCTTATAATTTTGATCAAGTGTAAAACGCCTCATTTTATAAAAATGTCCATTTCTGAATAAATCGATCGGATTATAACTTTTTGTCTACATAACCTTTTAGATTATAGAATTAGTAACCTTAAGTAAGAAAAAGTTTATAATGTATCCATGACAGTCTTTTCTAAAAAAAATTCAAGGGGTCTTACATTTTTGATCAGGAGTGTAGCTGCAGAAAATCAGTATTTCCTTTATTTTTATTAAATATTCACCCAATACAAAGCTCAAGGGCCGCTCATTGTAGATTTATTTTTTTTTTTTACAGCTTATCAACCCTTTGCAGGTTATTTAAAGCGACCAAATATTTTTAGATTCTCAGAATTTCTTGTAGATAATAGTGATTTACTGATACAATTCCTACTAATGAACCCATACCAGGTGGGGAGAAGAGATGAGTTCATATCTTTCCCAAGAGTATTTCTACGTAGGTGATTATAACAAACCCGACTGGAATTGGAAATCATCTCTCCTATTTAAAATTCGGTGATGTTATCTCTTACACCATACGCACACCCAAGCTTACATGGATAATTTGGAGAAGGGAATTAACAGGAGAAAACTGATAACTGATATCCATTAAACATGGAACGTGGAACTAGAACAGTCTACCCCAGTGAGCGTAATAAAGGTTTCAGTTCGACATTCCAACCACCTGAAGAAGGCTGGAGCGTACAACGGCCGAAACGTTGTAATAAATATGGCGACAAAGATGAAGACAATACCCGAATAATGAAAATAGTGAAGATTGGATCAGTTCAAAAAATGTTCGGAGATATCGTAACTTTTCAGTTTGTGGAGAAGTCCTGAAATCCAACATTTTCCGAGAGCTTTTGAGACTTATGATACTAAAGTCCGGCCTGGCCATTCTTATCAAAGCTTAATATGCTCTTTCCGCAAATATCGACCTGGAGAAATGAAAGCTATATTTCTTGTCTGAAGAAAGGTCCTGCGATGTGAGATGCTTAACTAATTCAGCATTGATTAGGGCCTCTATGAGTTATGAATGCAAGAAGTGGCTAGGCACATTTTATGCAGAGAACAAGAGCCATTTCATTCTTAATGACAATTACAGGGACACCATCGGGTGCACATGCTTTATGGGTATCCGGATTAGTGTTTATAACAGAAGCCATAGAAAGGGGTTATATGAATACTATGCAACAAAGACTCGGTTCTAGGTGGGAAGTTTGGTAGGGATACTCAAGAGAGTCGAGAGTAGAGCTTAAGGAGAAGTTATGGGCGAATTATTCGGCTTTATCAACTGAGAATGATTAATTAAGAAAGGAAAAATAGAAAATTTACTCTTATTGTATTCACTATTAGAGAGCCGCCAGTAATCACGAGAGCCAAAGTTTTAGATGTAATACGGTGCCTTGTCCTTTCAGCAAACAGAGACTAAGCTCTTTCAAGGATACGTTTACATTTATTATGCGCTGTCAAGAATAGGCGTATGTTGTTACGGGAAGTGTTCGATACTATAGCCGAAAATATTGTTTCCTGTGGGCTATAGCGGCGGAACATGCAGATGTGAACGATGGAGAAGATTGAGGTTTCATCTATTATTTCAGGGAAGGAAGGAAAGCATGTATAGCAGCTTTTACCTAGGAAGAAACCTCAGTGGCACCATTTTCAATTTGAAGGTTTAAAATATCAGTCCAATGGACGTCTTAAAGAAAGTAACAAAGTGAATCCTAATCAGCATACAGGCAATGGAAAGATACCTTATAAACAGAAGGTTCCTTTTAAACAGGTGATTGGAACGATATATCGATAAATACTACAGAGCAATCTAAGTTTCGAAGAGGACACTGTTGCTATGAGTCGGGGGAGGTGAAATATAAATCAAGTAGTAACTGTACCGAGAATACATTTTGCTTCTCATGAGAATAATTTTCTTCGTCTTTTCTCTTATAAAGATTCATCGTAAACTGAGAGAATTACGGTTTGTAACCGATTCTTTTAAGGCTACAATCTTTGCTTCTTTTTTCAAAAATCTCTGGACAAGTTGAATATCTGCGTGCCTTTGAAACGAAATTTTGATTCTAAATCTTTCGCACGTATAGTTTTTCTATTTGTCATATATTTTCCCCGGAAAATTATCAGAAACAAATGGAATAAACATTCTTTTCATGTAGATGGTTAATTAAAGTAGAACTATCGTCCATATCTATGAAGACAGCCGCTATGAATGACATTTGACGCACCTAAATAATGGCAGTAAGTACATTTTAATTAAGAACAGCGTGTGTGCTACAAGACTTAGTTATATATCTCATTGTTTACAACTTGGTAGAAGTTAGGTGGGATTAATTTTCAGGACTAAGCGATTGTTCTGCTACTGAAATCAGTTGCGTTACAAGTCATGGCTTGTTAACACAGCGTAGACGGTTACTACAGCTAGCTAGCTTTTTTCTATCTTATTCAGTTCAAATCTATCTATCTATCTATCTATCTATCTATCTATCTATCTATCTATCTATCTATCTCAGTCTGTTCATATCTACCTATCCATTCTCCTGACATCTATCTATCTATCTATCTATCTATCTATCTATCTATCTATCTATCTATCTATCTATCTCAGTCTGTTCATATCTACCTATCTATCTATCTATCTATCTATCTATCTATCTATCTATCTATCTATCTATATGTGTAACTACCTATATCTTTGCATATATGTCTTGATAATTTTGCACCAGTGTAAATATGTATGTAACACATATATTTATGATAATGATTTTTTATATCTAAGTCTGTTCTTATCTATCTATCTATCTATCTATCTATCTATCTATCTATCTATCTATTTGAGTCTATTTATATCTCTCTATCTATCTATATGTCTATCTATTTGAGTCTGTTCATATCTATCAATCTATCTATTTGAGTCTGTTCATATCTATCTATCTATTTATTTGAGTCTATTTATATTTCTCTATCTATCTATATGTCTATCTATTTGAGTCTGTTCATATCTATCTATCTATCTATCTATCTATCTATCTATCTATCTATCTGACTGCCTATATATTTTCATATATTTCTTGTTAATTTTTGCACTTGTCTAAATATGTATTTAATACATATTTTTATGTTAATGATAATGGTAATATTTTCAATTTCCTGTAGCTGTTATCACTCTGACTTGTATTGTTTTTTCCTTTCTAACTTTTTGTTTTAAGTCGTGTGGAACGTTGACATTTTCTCCTTGGGTTATATGTGCTATCCATTTTAGTTGTTGCTGCTAACGAAATTCCCCTAATGATATTTTTCTGGTATTTGATAAAATACTTTATCTGTGTTTCAGTCTAAAAGGTTCGAAGTTGGATGGTAATTTTGTTTTTAAGTAAATTTAATCTCTTAAAAGTCAGCCTTGTCAAATATTACCGAGCAGTGTTTCATCAGATTGTCTCACAGACATGTCTCTCGTTTAAATTTGATCTTTTCGTCAGCGTTAGACGAATATATTCACGTCATTAAAAAAAATTGTAATAACGAAAGTAATTTCGTTATTTCCATGAACTCGAAACGGCATCTGTCGTCTTGTTTAAAAATTGGCACCACTATCCAATTATTGTTTTTTTAGACCAGTCTTGGAGACCGTTTTGATAACACATATATATGGTGACTCTAACGAACCTAATCAATGAGAATCTCAATTTTTTCATCGAATTGCCGACATGTCTTTCTGCCTCACGCAAACACCTCATAAATTCTGTTCATATTTAACCACATCAATTTACCTGTTCCTGAATACAAGTTTTATCAAAATTACTTTCACAATATTTGGAGGCTGGTTCCTCACACCAAGACAAGGACAAATCTTCATATAAACATATATGTCAGCAAATCATCCGTTTTGGAGTTATTAAGTTTAAAGAACGTTTACGGTAGATGGCGTTCTGTTGCCATGTAGACTAGATTACATTTGTTATTCGTGTACAATTATGGCTAGTCTGTCTTTGACTTTTAACGTGTGTTATAGTGAGTTAACCGAGAAGTGTTCTGTTAAACAATCGTAGGGTATTCATATCGTGAGCAGGCAAATATGGTTTTTACGTACGGATCCGCGAATGAGAAATGGCGCGAGGCTGTAACAGATGGCATTTCAAGAATGAAGGCAGCCGAGTCATCCACCGTTTGCTGCTGTTTATGGTCGTGTTGCTGAGACAGATTCCGTGGCACCACAAAATATGGTAATAAGTATTTCTGGATTGTATCTTGGATTGTACATTTAACAACGTTTAACGTAAATTTTAAACTTAACTAAAAAACGAAGGATTTGCTGACATGTTTATATTGACTTTTTCATTGTTTCATATGAGAAACGCGCTCCAACGTTTGTAAAAGCATTTTTGATACACCCTGTATACAAATTCCAAAATATATTAAATCGGAATTTCATCAAATAGTAAGCTTTTTTGTGTATTGTGATACAATAAATGTTTAAGAGCGTTAGGACAGAATAATTCTTTTAATAAAAGATCCTCTTAAATTATATACACGCAAAATGTTAGCGTTCTGGGAAAATAATATCAATATCATGAAACAAGATTCGCCAAGGCTAGTGCTTAAGCCAACGTATTTCTATTAGCTACATATATTTTCTTAAACATTATTTTTAGTAGATTGTATCATTTTAAAAATTCGTCTAGAAATACCATCACCTCTTAAATATGTGATGAAAACCAGCATGCCAACACCTGCCAAATATCTTCGTGATATCCAAAGCAACAGCTCAAGCTTCACCATTCTTATCTAAGCTTTGATAGACACTTTCAGAAATGACTATTAACATATCAGCAGTTGGCCTAGAGTAACAGAGGTCATACTGCATGGCTGAAAGGAGACCTGGCGATGTAAGATGTTTAATCAATTCAGAGTCGATTAGAGGATTTTGTACTTTACTAAAAAGAAGCATATGGTTAATTGTATGAGAGTTAGAAGGGAAATACAATTTCAATCAACCAGGAAGTAAAGAAGATGTAAAACATTTATTGTAGAGTTTTTAATGAAAGACGACCGACTTGCTTCACATAAAATTGTTGAACATTGAGTTATCCACTCATTATATGTAAGATTTCTGTCCACAGGAACGGAGTCGCAAAGTGGGTCGTACGCATTGCCGCACTAACTACCGTATTCGTTATTATTGTATTATTAATCCACGTGATTAAACAGTTTCCTCATTAATCATTTGCTCCAGTATTTTCATTGGAATATTATTGACCAGAACTATGAGCTTATACGGGCAGTAAAACAAAAGTTTTATCGAGAACAAAAGTCCGTTAAGGAGCATATTTCCTAAAGTATATTGTAGCGATACTATCAAGTTGACATGCTTTGGAAATCTAGTGTAGTGATCATAGGAGAAAATATGAATGAAGTTATACACATATGAGACAGTAGAGACTTGGTTCTTATTGGAATGTCAGGGAAAGAAACTTCAAATGAATTAAGAGTAGAATTTGAAGATAACTTACGAGCAAAACATTTGCTTTATCAAGAGATCATAACACCTCAAATGAAGAGGAAAGGAATATAAGACTTACTCTTATTTAAGACATTAATGCGACACCAGTAGCCACAAGAATCAAACTTGTTAGACGCTATACGGTGCCTCATTCTTTCAGCTAACAAAGACTTATTCTCATAGAGGATACGTTAAAATTACTGCCAGCAGACATGGAGTGGTTATCGGAAGTATGCTGCTGGTACCGCCGGAAGGAAAGTGATTCCTGTGGGCTCTACCAGCTGAAAAGGCAGGTTAGACACGAGGAGCGTATTTTGGTTTCAACTGTTATTTCTAAGACGTCACACAATCATCGTTGCAGAGTTCTACAAAAGAAAAAAACTTCACTGGCACAATTTCCAATATGAAGTTTTAAAAAAATCACTCCAAATGGCGTCGCAAATAAAACCACAAAACACTATGTTGGTAACAGAAAAAAAAAGTCTTGTGAATAGGAGGTTCCTTTTTAACAGATGACTCAAAAGAAATATTAACGTTTGCTACAGCATAATCCGAACTGCCCAGAGGACAGAGTTGCGATGCTCGACAAGAGCCAGGAGAGTAGAACTCAAGTAAAGAAGCTTGCTGATCAGAAATGTCATGGAAAAGAATATAGGAATCTATTAACTGTGAGACTGAGCCAAAAAAAATGCTATTCTGAATACTTGCAACATCAGTAACATGATAATGATTAAAATAACCATAAAAATATGTTCACATATGAATGTAGAGAGAGAGAGAGAGAAATTTCTATATTGTCAAGTTATTTTTTCTAATATGTTATAGTCCTGAGAAGAAGGAGAGTGATAAAGTAAAAAGAGATAGCTAACAGAGTGCAATAATGAAAGTCGAAAGTACATGAAATACTCTTGGAAGAATACAAGAGACGATTATCTTACCATTTGCTGACGTTCACAAGAATTAAATACTTTTGAAAGTGAATAATGAACTGGATCTATGTCAAAGCTCCAGAGATTTGGCTTAAAAGTTTAACATGTCATATTTAACTATGAATATTTCAAGGGAATTGGGGAAGGCTTGCAAAGAGAAAATTTGGTTTACTCATGAGTGTTTTATATTGTTTGACAATAAAACAAAATATTTCTCTAGTCATTTAACCAGGAATTGTAAATTTTCACTTTTGCATGGCATTGTTACAGGTGATGAAAAATGTGTTTTGCATGTCAATAGAAAAAACAAAAAAGACATTGATTATCACAAAATGAGAAATCACTGGCTACATCGAAACAAAAACTCTATGTACTGAATTACTTACATTTTGTCTGGCAAAAAATGGACAGCGAAACGATAATCCAGGCAGGCGTATAGTGTCAGCAACATGAGCGATGAATTACGCTGAACGTGTTCCAATGTCTTAAACAAAAAATGTGTAATTCTCCAGTATGATGATTCTAAACAAATCAAAGAAAATATAATAACGTCACTGTGAGAGATTCATCAGAATCCTCTCGACTCACAGGAACGTTCCGAAACAAACAAGTTGAACATTTTTTTCAGACATTTTCCTTAATCGATGAATCGAAGTTTTTGCATTCATATTGGTCTACAGTCATGGAAAATAAACGTGATTATCTTTTAAATATATAAAATTTAAATAAATTTAACTTACACTTATTTTATCACGTTTCTCATATTACGTTCCGAACACCTCAATATTAAATTAAATTTAGATTTCTTTTTATAAAATTTATGGTAGAACATGGCTACTCTCCGAATAACCCCATATTTAAATAAATTTAAAAATTATTATAGGCTTTCTCATAAAACGGCATTACTTTCCGAACACCTCAATATTAAATTAAATTTACATTTTTTTTTTAATATAATTTATGATAGAACATAGCTATTCTCTGAACACACCCATATTTAAATAAATTTAACTTGCTTTTGCTTTATATCATTTCTGGTAAAACATTTATGAAAAACATAATATTTAAATAAGCCCAGACAAATTATGCAGCACTTATTACGATTAACAGCTTTGCTTAGAACGATTACTTCGCTACTTATATAAATGATAAAGAACAGTCTTGGTTGCTAAGAATATGATTGATAGAAGGCTATAAAAAGAATGCGAAGTCGATTATTTACTGTCTATTGTTTGCGTCACGTGTGAAAAATTATAAGTAAAATGTCGCGCTAAGTAATAAGTAACAACGTAATCGTTTTAAGTTCTCTGAACACCAGGTCCTTAAATAAATTCAACGTACATTTGCTTTTATATTCTCTCTGACAAGTCGTTATTACTTTCCGAACAACGTAATATTTAAATATTACGGGTGAAATTTGTGGAGATTTAATCTCGTACTCTTGTTGAAAGATTGTTTCTGATATCAGTATTTCAGTGTGTCACACCTTTTTAACTTTACTCCCAGAGGCCGTAGCACAATATATCGTACGATTTGGAAATCAGGCTGACTCCGTGAGGAAAATATTCCGGGTCGGATCCAAATCCGAAATCCTGAAATTTTAGAACCCCAAATATT